CATCTTCCTGATCCCACCAAACACAGAGCATTGTCTTCTTTCTGAAGCCATTTGACCTTTGCAGTTGATGTTGATGGTTCACCTGGATCAACCCATGATTTTGTGTAATTGGGATTCTCAAAATGAATCCACTTTTCATTGTGTCACAATTCTATGCAAAAAAGACTTTCTTTCATGCCATTGAAGCAACATTTTACTGATGCCTTTTCAGTTTTCCATTTGTCTTTTGTTCAGTTGATGTAGCACCCATTTTCCTTCCTTTAAAATCTTTCCTATTGGCCAGGACTGGTTTGGCTCAGTGGATAGAGCATCAGCCTGCGGACTGAAAGGTCCCGGGTTCAATTCCAGTCAAGGGCATGTACCTTGGTTTCAGGCACAACCCCAGTGGGGGGTGTGCAAGAGGCAGCTGGTCGATGTTTCTCTCTCATCGACGTTTCTAACTGTCCCTCTCAATTCCTCTCTGTGTAAAATCAATAAAATATATATTTTAAAAATATATAATAAAACAAAATCTTTCCTATTGCTTGTAAACAATCAGAAATTGTTTGCTAACGTTTAATCTTTCTGCAAGTTGTTTTTTAGTTTAACATTCATCTTTATCCAATAATTCCTGTAATAGTTGGTCTTCAAACTTTTTCAGTTGACCGGGACATTCTTTGTTTTTCACATTGAAATCATCACTTTTAAAGCGTTTAAACCAGCATTCACAAGTATCTTGAGATGAAGCATGTTCACCATAAACTTCCCGAAGTATTCAGCAGCACTTTTTTTCAAAATAATGAATTAAAATTTCCCTCAAATGCTCTTTTATTGGCACAAAACTCAACATTTTTAAGTGTAAAAATATATATGATGTTAACACCTTCAGCAAATTTGACATATGAAGTTTTGAAGCTTGTTGTCAATACAACAAAATAGCATACATATCAAATTGAATATATATCAACATATGTGTGATTCCATCTATTGAAAAAAATCCACATTATTAACCGGTACACCTAGTAAATAAACACTTCTCCAAAGAGGACATACAGATGCCAAGAGACATGACAAAATGCTCAAAGTTACTGATCATCAGAGAAATGCAAATTAAAACGACAATGAGGTATTACCTCACACCTGTCAGAATGGTTACCATCAACAAATCAGCAAACTGCAAGTGAGGATGTGGCACGAAGGGAACCCTCAGGCATTGCTGGTGGGAATGCAGACTGGTGCAGCCATTATGGAAAACAGCGTGAGGTTTCCCCCAAAAATGTGTGACTCACATTTATTTGATCCAGTGATCTCACTACTAGGAATATATCTTAAGAAACCTGAAGCGCCGAAACCGGCTTGGCTCAGTGGTAGAGTGTCGGTCTGCGAACTGAAAGGTCCCAGGTTCGATTCCGGTCAGTGGCATGTGCGTTGGTTGCGGGCACATCCCCAGTGGGGGGTGTGCAAGAGGCAGCTGGTCGATGTTTCTCTCTCATCAACGTTTCTAGCTCTCTATCTCTCTCCCTTCCTCTCTGTAAAAATCAATAAAATATATTAAAAAAAAAAAAGAAACCTGAAGCATGAATCAGAAGGAATGTATGCCCCCTATGTTCATAGCAGCACAATGTACAATAGCTGAGATTTGGAAACAGCCCCAGTGCCCATCATATTATAGACAAGTGGATAAAACAGCCATGGTACATTTACACCATGGAACACTCTGCAGCAGTAAAAAAGAAGAATCTCTTATTCTTTGAGACAGCATGGAGGAACCTGGAGAGCATCATGCTTACTTGAATAAGCCAGTCAGAGAAAGACAAGTATCACATGATCACACTCATATGTGGAACCTAAGTAACAAAATAAATTGATGAACAGAGTGGATCCAGAGAGTCGAATCTTGGAGTAGTTTATGGAATCTTGTAGGGAAGGTAATGGAGGGTGGATGGGTGGGAGGTAACCAGCCAAGGACCTTTATGCATATATGCATGGCCCTTGGACACAGACAATGGGCCATGAGGTCCTAAGGGGGGGTGGTGCAGGGTGGAGGTTGTTAATGGGGAAAAATAAAGAGATATATTGAGAGGGCAGGGCGAGGATGAGCTCCCAACTCCGCCCCACAGGGTGGAGTTATCCCTAGCCCTCATCCAACCAATCAGGGTTAGCCGAGGCAGTGACATCACCACCGACTGGAGTAAAACCCCTGGACTGGGAGAAATTTGCTCTCTCTTCTGCCATGCTGCCGGCGTGGGTGGGAGGAGCCCATGCTAGCATGGTACAGGCTCTTTTGTTTGCATCGGCCTCGGCTCCCTGGTGGTCCTTGAGGATCACGAAGTCTGGGTGTAACAATATGTAATATTTTGAATAATAAAGATTTATAAAAAATCATTTGAAAGCAATTTGTAGATTTTCTTGCTTCTTTAAAAAAATACATTTGATTGATTTTTTTACAGAGAGGAAAGGAGAGGAATAGAGAGTTAGAAACATTGATGAGAGAGAAATATCTATCAGCTGCCTCCTGCACACCCCTTATTGGGGATGTGCCTGCAACCAAGGTATATGCCCTTGGCTGGAATTTAACCTGGGACCCTTCTGCAGGCTGACACTATATACTGAGCCAAACTGGTTAGGGCTTCTTGTTTCTTAAATAATTCTCAATGAGAGATGCCAACACTTCTGCCCTCCAAAGCAAACAAAAAATAAAAACCAATCACAGCCACAGGAATTGAAATATAGTGGCAACCATACTTTGATAAAAACTGCTGTTTGAATTTTAACCCTTGTATTAATAGTTTGGCTCCTGCACCTGATACTTACCTCACAGGGTACTTACCTCACTTCCAGGTGGAGACCTGGAGGCTAAGGCAATTTCCCTTGCCTAGGACCAGGACTGCCATAACCAAAACCTAACATTGTCACTGGTAATAAAATGTAAAAAGAGCTAGCCAGGCTTGATGGCTCTGAATGGTCAGAGCTATTAACTCATTGACTCTAAGTTGAGTCACTGGGGTAAAATGTAAACAGAGCTGGCTAACCGAAAACCAAACATTTGTTCCCTGGTAGTAAAATGTAGAAAGAGCTAGCCAACCAGATGGCTCTGAATGGTCAGAGCTATTAACTCATTGTCTAGTTGAGAGAGTGGTGGTTGAGGCAACTTTAATTTGTTAATCATATGTAAATGTAAGTTGATTTTCTATTGTTGGAACTTCCTGCCTAAGAGATGTCTTTGTCTCAGAATCCAATAAAAGGAATGTAAAAAGCCAGAGCAGGGGTTAGTCTTCCCACTAGAGGTGGACTTCCCGCCTGGCCCCCATTTTCCCAAATTAACTCTTTTCCAGTCTCTCTCTTCATTTTAGTGTGCGGCCTTCTCCAGAAACCGGACCCTGAGTGGGCCTGAACCACGCGGGTCGTGTTAAGGGATCCCACACAGGACCAACCACAGGAGATTGATTCCCACTGACTCAGTAGCTTCAGGGATAGAAACTGTAGATAACCTCTGAGCTCTGCTTCTGTGTTATCGGCTATCGCAAGATAGGGCCACATTCCAATGTCCAGCAGGATGTGACTAGCATCGACCCTGCAGGCTGACCCCAGTAAAATTTAGAACAAATGAAAATTCCTGTGGTTTGAACCTTTAAAAGGGACTGCCTACCCCTGAAATGGTGCAGTCGTGTGGAGACCACCTACATGTCGCGCTCTTGAGGCTGGCCTGGCCAGTTCAATAAATCCTTGCTTGCTTTTTTTAAAATTAATCATCAGCCTCCAGTGGTCTTATTTTGAACCCAGGATTCGACTCCACAACAGAATTTAAATGATTTCCTTATCTATACTAACAAAAGGGTAATATGCTAATTAGACTGGGATACCTCTGGGACACCTTCCGGACAAAGCTATGGTGGCATGGCTGAGGCAGAGGCGGTTAGTGGCGATTAGGCCAGGAGGGGAGAGCAGCTGGGGAAGAGCAGGGTGTCAGGTGAGCGGTTAGGGGCCAGTAGTCCTGCATTGTGAGAGGGATGTCTGACTGCCGGTTTAGGCCCAATCCCATAGGAGTCCCAGATTGAAGAGGGTGCAGGCCCGGCTGAGGGACTCTCTGCCCCTGTGCATGAGTTTCGTGCACCAGGGCACTAATTTATAATAATAAAAGCATAATATGCTAATTAGACTAGACAGCCAAACGACCTTCCAAAAGTCTTTCCAGATGATCTTCTGGATACAGCTGGGGCTGTGAGGGCCGAGGTAAGCCTCCATGGCTTCAAGGGCTGAGTTCCTTGCATGAATTTTCTGCATCAGGCCTCTACTAGTCAAATAAATCCAAAAGTAAGATGATACATATTCCTTTAAATGTAATTTTATAGCAAAAAAACAATAAAAGACCTTGCATGCAGAATGGGGTGACTTACCGTGTTTGCATGTTCTGCAGTCCCCCTAATAAATGCTGTTGTGGGTTTGCAGAGGGTCAAAACCGCCCTAGGCTGAGGGCAGTCCTGCCACTCGGCGGGTGCTGCACATTCAGGCTATCTACTTCTCCAGGTGGGCAAGCCCAAGCTCCTTATCAGACCCAGAAAGCCGGTTTCTGCCCAAAGCGTGTCCTGAACCAACCACCTTCCTATCTTTACTTGCTTTGGCAGACTAAATGTCCCTGGGAGAGCTCCTGCCTGACTCTGCCCAACTCTTAACAGAGTGAGCTGGGTGCTGGGTGCCGGGAGCCGGGTGCTGGTTCTGGGCACTAACGGGCATTGAGTTAAGTGTACTCCAGTGGGCACAGAGCGTCAGCACCCTTCCCCTCACCAGAGGGAGAACTGCCTCCTCGAACCTTCCCCAGTCGCACCCTCACTGCTCAGTCACTTGCGGCTCAGTCAGCCTCTGCCCTGGGGCCTGGACTGAAGCCCCGCCCCGGCCCAAGGCCCCGCCCACCACGCCTTCCCCAATAGGCCCCGCCCCTCTGCCTCTGGGCCGAAGACGCCGGCGCGCTCCTCTGACGCACGGCGCCTGCTCCGACGTCGCATCTGCGGCCCCGCCCCGGGTCGCTGTGCCCGCCCACAGCGGCGGCTCCTGAGGCGGCGCCGGAGCGGCGGCGGCGGTGGTAGTCGCGGTCCCCGCCCAGCGCTGTCGCCGCTGTGGTGCCCGGTCCGCGCGGCGGCCGCCCAGCCCCTCGGTCCGGCGGGCGATGGTGCGGCGGGGCGAGCGGACGCGGGCATGACAGAGGATGGAAGGACTGGACGAGGTGTCGGCGCGGGAGCAGCACTTCCACAGCCAAGTGCGGGAGTCCACGGTGAGCGGCGGGCGCCTGCCGTCCCTGCGGCCCCCACCCCGCGCCCCTTCCCGCCCCCCGCGGCCGCCGCTCCCAGGCCACCTGCGCCGCGGCCGCCCGGCCCGCCCCTCCGCGCCCCCGCCGCCTTCCTGCGCAGTCGCCTGAGCCACCTCCTCCACGGGCAGCGCCGCGGCCACCTGCCCGCCCCGCGCACCTGCGCCCGCGCCCCGCTCTCCCTGGGCCGGCGGCGGGCCTGGCGGGGACAGGTGTGCTCCCGCCCTCCGCGGCGGCCTCGGCCCACTGGCATCCAGGCCGAAACCCGGGGGGTGGGGGGCCGGCGGCTGGAGGGGAGGCAGCCCTAGGAGGTCACCCTTTCTCGCCCCGGTTCGCTCTGCGCTGCTGCCCGCGGTCCGGACCCGGCGTGGCCTCGGCAGCCCTCTCTGATGCTCTGCCTTTTCAAGGTGCGCGGAGCACAGCGTCGTGCTACTTGTGTGTGCAAAACGGCGAAAACACATCCTCTTCATGCACTGGCGTTGGCCCTTCTTCCTAACTTCTCCCAGATTGCCGCACTTGGTTTGAGGTGAAACCTCGTAGCGTACAGTGGCCTCGTGTGTAGTTATTGATCTTGAAAATTGAGAATCACTTTGCCAAGTCATCCTCTGGAATAAAGAGGAGATGCAAAGTCTGAAGTGGTGAAATTTGACACAGTACATTAGGTTCAGTGTTTGAATCGAAGCTGAAAGGGCACAGAGGCGTGCACGATCTCACATGAACGGCCTGAGCATTGCACATGTGATTGAGAAAGGCGATTGAGAAAGGCTGTGAGCGCGTCCGGAGCCCCATCCCTCCCTCTGGCCAGTCACTCCAGTTCACCCCTGGACAGTGGCCCCTGCTGGCTTACTAGGTTAGCTTTGCGTGGCTGTGAGCTTTGATATAAACGGAACCTCTGCGTATGCACTTTTTGTGTCTTTTCTTTCATTGAATGATGTCTGAAATTTCTCCTTTTTGTATATGGCTGTAATTCATTCAGCTGTAGCTGTGTGATACCGTTTCCCCGAAAATAAGACAGTGTCTTATATTAATTTTTGCTCCCAAAGATGTGCTAGGTCTTATTTTCAGGGGATGTCTTATTTTTCCATGAATAAGAATATGGTACACATTTTATTGTTAAATGAAAATAAAGGAAATTTATTACCTGTATATGGTGCAGTAGTACGGTAGTTGTCAACACAAACCAGACAAACTGTGAATCCTACAGTATCAAGAATTTACTAATTTATTCAATGACAATCATGTCATTATCTTCTGGAACATCATCATAACAATCCAATTCCTGAATTTCCTGGTGAATTTCTTGTGACTCCATTTCTTTCAGAATCAGTGGACCAAATCTCTCATGTTTAGCAATAGCACTGTCTTTAAATGAGTACTTCTTGTCAAGGTAGCCTGCTCGCAGTGCATTTGTAATGCAACTGTCAGTGATTTTCTCTCTTGAATTCTTCACCCAAGTCACAACTTCTTGCATTTAGGTTTCACAAAGTTTCCACGCTGATTTCTCTCCATTCTGTTTTCAAGGTAGTCATTAATTTCCATGTGCATATTGTCTTTGAATGGCTTGTTTATTGCAATATCAAGAGTCTGGAGATAGGCTGTCATTCCTGCGGGAATCATTATCTGATCTATTTTTCTTTCTTAAAGAAATGTCTTCATGTCTTTAGCGCGTTGAGTGCTGGCTGCATCCCAGACTAGCAGACCTCTTTGGCTCCCTCGCATAACAAGTGGCAGCATTAAATAGACCCACTTCCTTATAACTTGTGTGGCCCAGGTTTTTTCAGTTTCAAGAATAAAAACGCCCAAAACACGTTCAATCTTTTCCTTCTTGCCCTTAGAAATGGTTAAAGGTGGAATTTTAGTTCCATCCAGACGAATTGCCAAAATACAGGAAACACGTGCACTTTCGTGAGCAGTGTAGGGAATGTACATAAGGAGGCACTCCGCTGTCCAATTGTTGTTTGAGATGATTGGCCCATAAACACTGCAGTTTCATCCATAGCAATCATGTTGGAAAGATTGTATTTATTTATTTATTTATTTATTTATTTTTAAAAATATATTTCATTGATTTTTTGCAGAGAGGAAGGGAGAGAGATAGAGAGCTAGAAACGTCGATGAGAGAGAAACATTGACCAGCTGCCTCTTGCACACCCCCTACTGGGGATGTGCCCGCAGCCAAGGTACATGCCCTTGACCGAAATCGAACCTGGGACCTTTCAGTCTGCAGACCGACGCTCTATCCACTGAGCCAAACCGGTTTTGGTGGAAAGATTGTATTTAGAGAAGTCAGCACCATCAACAAAGGACTTGAATGCAAGTGCTCACTTAATAACTTGAGTATCATGCATATAAGTACAACCAATGGACACAAAACTCTGGGGAGGGAGGGTATGTATGGGAGGGGGGCCATTGGTATATGTACAAAAATAATAATTTAATTAAAAAAAATAACTTGAGTATCTTCCAACCTAAACAATGTTGTACCAGTAGATCTTCTTAAAGACAGTTCACTTCGCTGAAGGAAATTATCCAGCCAGTGTTGTGATGCTTTGAAGTCTTTGGGGGCTATGTCAAACTGTGGTGCCATTGCAAGGGCAAATTCTTGAATCTGAGCCCTATTCACAACCAAAGCCTTTGCTCTCCTGTCAACAACCCATTCACAGATCAGGTCTTCCAGCTCGGAAAATAATGGTTGCCGACCTGATCCACACTTGTGCTTTTTAGCATTTCCCTTGTCCACTTGTTCAATGAGGTTACCATACTCTGCTCACCATTTTCGGACCAATCGAATACTCAACATCTCTTTGCAGAAAGCAGTAAGATTTTGGCCCCAAGAGTCTTCACAATTCCTTTCTTGTACTCCACGGAGTAGCTTTTTCTTTTTGCGCTCATTTCTAGGGGTAAAAAAAGGAATTGGGGTATCAAGGTGGGGGGAGGGGGATCACTTAAAATGACACAGAGGGGATCAGAGGGAGGAATCAAAATGGCACAGGAGAATCAGAAGGGGAATTACCATTTTAGTAACCCCTTTTGATCTTCCTGTGTCATTTTAAGTGATCCCCCCCCCACCCCTGTGCCACTGAACACCTTCACCAGACATCCCCCTTACCCCTTTATCAGACATTTACCCCCTGGGGCCTGCCTGGGGACTGTCACTGGGCTTGCTGGAGCCTGGATCTGGGCTGGAGCAGGGTCTGCCACTGACTGAGAAACTTCAGTCATCATGAGGGCGGCCGCGAGCATCAGGTAGTGTCACCAGAGACAGACCAGCACTCACCAGCTTCACTGTGTCCCATCAGCTCTAATCCTCCTGTTCTTCTACACGCATCTGCGAAAGTCTCCTCTCTCCTGCCCCGCGCTCACCGCTCACTCCAACCTCCACTCCGCCTCCACACAGCAGTGACATCAGGACTCTGCGTAATGTCACTGGTTGCTAGTCTCCAGTTGGGATGGCCCTAGCAACCAGTTTACTGTAAATTAATTTTCATTCTGAGACAGAGCCTGTGGGAGGGCTTATTTTCGGGGACATGCCTTATATCCACTCAGAAGGAAACCTGGTAGTAGGTCTTATTTTCGGAGGATGTTTTATTTTCGAGGAAACACGGTAGTAGCACAGTTCATGTTTATTTTGATCCAGTAGTTCCCAGATTTTGGCTCCGAATATTCTGGGACATATCTTTGGGTGAACATGGCTGTGCGTTTGGTCAGGTGGATACTTAGGAATGAGACCACTGGGTTATGTAGGCTTTGCAGTTACGAGGTGCTTTTAAACAGTTGGCCAATTTACATTCCAGCAGCACTGTATGAGAGGTGTATTTGCTTCCCATCTTTATAACACTTAATATTTTCTGCCATTTAAAAAAATATATATTTTATTGATTTTTTACAGAGAGAAAGAGAGGGATAGAGAGAGGGATGGTAAACATCGATTAGCTGCCTCTTGCACACTTCCCATTGGAGATGTGCCTGCAACCAAAGTACATGCCCTTGACTGAAATCGAACCTGGGACCCTTCAAGTCTGCAGGCCGACGCTCTATCCATTGAGCCAAACCGGTTTCGGCTATTTTCTGCCATTTTTATTTGTTTGTTTATTATATCTTTATTGATTTTAGCATGAAAGGAAGGGAGAGGTTGAGAGAAGCATCTATATGCTGCCTCCTGTAGCACCCTACTGCTGATTAAGCCAGCAACCTGGGCATGTGCCCTGACTGATTCTTGGAGACCTCTTCGTTCATGGGCAGTAATCTGCCAACTAAGCCATACTGGCTAGGGCTTCTGCCCCTTTTAAATGTTAGCTATTCCAATGTGTCATAGTATTTATTGCACAAAAGATTTTACTTGCATTTTCCTGATGATCAATGCATTTGAGAACCTTTTCAAAAGTTTATTGGTTATTTGGAAATCTTTCAAGGCTTTTCCCCATTAGTTTGTTTATCTTTTTAATATTGAGTTATAAGAGTTTTTATTTGAGATATACTTTGGTCAGAGAAATATATATAGAAACCCTCCCCCACCTATTGGTTGATATCTTATGAGGAGCAGAAATTCTTAATTTTAATATAGTTCACTTTATTAATTTTTTATTTTATTGTCAGTGCTTTTTTGTTTTATGTTCCATTTAAGAAATCTTTGCTTAATCCAAGGTTATGAGGATGTCTCTTGTGCTTTTCCCTAAGTACTTACTTGATTTGCTCTTCTCACTGAGATCTAAGTTCACCTGCAGATTATTTCTTAGGTGTGCTGTGAAGTAGGGTAATATGTGTTTCTTCACATGAATGTCCAATTGTTTAGGCACCATTATGATCTTTGTCACAATTTAGGTAACTATATTTGTGGGGCTTAAGTTTGGATTCTGTGCTGTTCCATTGGTCTAGTTTTTGCTTTATTTTTAATTAATTAGGTATTATGCCATTTGAATTGAGATCTCATATTGTAGTAGCCAGGAGCTTTATTACTTTGTCTACGC